TCATGATCGCTTTTTTCGTTTCATATTTTCATTTACTGTCATTTCCATTCAGTCAGTCATTAAGTGCTATTAAAATGTTAATGTGCTACATATCCACACAAACAAACAAAGTGTGCAANACTACTAACAACAACAACTACTACTACTACTACTACTGACTACTACTAACAACAACAACTACTACTACTAACAACCACAACAACTACTAACAACAACAACTACTACTACTACTACTGACTACTACTAACAACAACAACTACTACTAACAACAACAACTACTAATAACAACAACAACAACAACTACTACTACTAACAACAACAACAACAACTACTAACAACAACAACTAACAACTACTACTACCAACTACTACTAACAACAACTACTACTAACAACAACAACAACTACTACTACTACTAACAACTACTACTAACAACAACAACTACTACTAACAACAACAACAACAACTACTACTACTACTAGCAACAACAACTACTACTACTAACAACAACAACTACTACTACTAAAAACAACAACAACAACTACTACTACTACTAACAACCACAACAACTACTAACAACAACAACTACTACTACTACTACTAACAACAACAACTACTACTAACAACAACAACAACAACAACTACTACTACTACTACAACAACTACTACTACTAACAACAACAACAAAAACTACTACTAACAACAAGTACTACCAACAACAACAACTACTACTACTAACAACAACAACAACAACTACTACTAACAACAACAACAACTACTACTAACAACAACAACTAACAACTACTACTACTAACAACAACAACAACAACTGACAACTACTACTACTAACAACAACAACAACAACTACTAACAACTACTACTACTACTAACAACAACAACTACTACTACTAACAACAACAACTACTACTAACAACAACAACTACTACTACTAACAACAACAACTACTACTACTAACAACCACAACAACTACTAACAACAACAACTACTACTACTACTACTGACTACTACTAACAACNCTGACACACCGGGGACACCTAGGCCCCGTCTCAGGTCGGTTAAATGAAATCCTTGCTTCCCTCACTGGAGGGAGGGACTAAACACAGGGAAACGACGCAAGTGAGGGAAGCAAGGATTTCATTTAACCGACCTGAGACGGGGCCTAGGTGTCCCCGGTGTGTCAGGGAACTCACTCAGCATCAGAAAATAAAACCCTCTCTCTTTTCCTCCGTACCCAAATCTCTAAAAACGGGGGTACAACGGAGCTGATCCAGATTTGCGTCCGATATGACGTAATATCGGAAATGTGGACCAGCCCCCTCCTTTTTTCTTTTTTTAATAATATTTTTTTTTAAGCTTTATACCCAAAATCAGTACTTTTGAAAAAGGAAGTGAAATAGAGGGATATGAGGCATGGCTAGAATCATGGATGTATAATAAGAACTGGATACAGCGTCGGAGGCAGGGCCTCGTTAATTCCTATTAGAGTTGCTCATTGGCGCATGAAGACAAAATGGCCCAACTTTTGAGAGAGCAAAACGTCACGAAAGTATTCATATAATTATATAATCCGTTCTTATTGTGCATCCATGGGTAAAGGTAAAATTCATGTAGTACTAAACACGTCACATAAACGTGCTGGGCGGCACAGTCCCGTGGGTTGGATCCGCGTTCATAATGACGACGAAAATAACTCTCAGAATAACGTTAATAGCACATTTTACAACTTGAGGACCGAATGTTTTTAATAAGGGCTATACAAATGTCCATACTGGGTAGTTTATTTAGTTTAATAAAAGATTATCCAACGATTTACAGACGTGTCTTTCCCAATGTTAGTCAAAGGGAAAAAATCTTTCCGGGCCCAGCGACTGATACGGAAGTGTAGTACTGCCGTTTGGCCACAACGAATATTTTCCTCAGAGTCCGGCGCACTTCCTGGGGGCTTGGCTAGAATGTGTGATCTGTTTGGTATTTTGAGCAAAACACTTCATAGACATGTTTTTTATATATTTGTATATATCTGAGACCTATGCTATTGCCTAGAAATAGCATGATAGGTGACCTTTAAGTTACACTTGTTCAACCATAGTCCAGAAATGGTACTCAAGTAAACGTACATAAGTATTATTATCAATATGCAGAAGAGTCCATTTCAGAATAATAATGGTCTTTTTGGATAATAGTTATGGATGCACTCGTGACTTTAATGTTACATCTCGTAAAGGAGGAGTTTCTTTTATGTGTGTGATGCAGGTAAATGTTATGAAGGGTTCAATATATTTCTCACAACTTTAAGTTATAAAAGATACTTGTTAATTATATTTGGAATAAGTGATCTAAATCTACAAAGTACTGAAGTTATCAATTAAATGTAGTAAAGTACAATATTTAAGTGAAGGCATAAGGAGTTTAAGTTTAAGAGTAGAAGGGAACATTTTCTCAAACATTCAACTTAACTACAGTACTAGTAAATGGACTTACATACTTAACACTAGTGTTTTTTATATCATGATTAAACATCAACTTCTGAGCAGACTTAGAAGAGGAAGTGGTTTTGAAGAGTTGCACTTTGACCTAAACTCTCCCCTATTGTAATGGCGTCCAGCGGCCACCAGATGGCGCTGTGTAGTTACCATCTCCCCGGCTTCAACAACACAGTGTGAGCACAGTAACACCTGCCACAGCTGGGCTCCCCCGCCTCTACAGGTTGCTGTGTGAATGGCGATGACTCAATGAAATACAGCATCAAACTGAGACTGCAAGACCCTCCCCTGTAGTTTCCCCTCGCTGTTTCCCAGCCACTGCAACTGGAAGCGTAGAAGAAGAGAGGAGAGGAGCAGCTGCTGGACCGATGGAGAAGAAGCAGGAATCTTCTCACCATTACGGTTCACTGGAGCGCACTGAATGGAGCAAAGACACCAAAAAACCAGGTGACCAAAAGAACAAAAAAAATGCACTATTATTACATTTATTGACTGTGTTTAAAGTGACCTTTCTGTATGTTGTTCATATCTCCAACAAGATTACTCTATATTCTCCTTACTGTACCTACTGTTCTTATTACCATAACCTTGCTACATGGAGTTACACTGTCTTTGTTATAGTACATTTATAGTTACCTCGGTCTGTTTAATCTGTCTATTCACTGTGATTTTATAATATATCTAATGGCACCTCTACTATTTCTGTCTTCGTCTTCATTGATTTGTCTTCTATATTTACCCATTAGAACTTAAAACAGGATCGCTGTATCTTTCAAATATATGTACTATCTGGGTTAAACCAATCAATGTATTTTTTCCAATTGCATTACAGGCAGTAGCTCTGCAAATGTCAACACTCCACAGGTGTTTGTACTGTACTGCCAGTGTTTGTGTTCATGAGGCTCAATTACTCAGGGACCTGCAGCCACAACTTATGAATAATGGGGCACTTGGCAGGACATCTGAATCCCTGCTTTTGAAAGACTATTATGCTAGAAAGATAGATACAAAATATTTATCAAAGCTCATGGTGATAACTTCAGATATCTGTTTTGTAAGACTAACGGCCAAAACACATTCAATTTTAAATGATTTACAAAACGTATAGCAAATCCTCACATTGGAGAGGCTGGATGTTTTACCTCCTGAATTTCAGTTATATTCCTCTACATTGCGTTTTTTTTATATATACAATATACTTGTGTGAAATATCTGCACAAAATAGTTGATCAGGAGGGACGTTTGGAAAGCTGTGCAGATTGTCTGTTGAGTCCTCTTTCAGTTGTTTCTCTTTACTCCTCACTTCCTTCCTCTTCCTTACTCCAACCATTCCTCCGTCATCCCCTAATGCTTTGTCTTCTGTGTCTTGCTCTCCAATCTGGTGGCTCTTTATTAACTGGTTGTCTACCTCATTAGGTGTAAAGCACCATATGGCAGTGTAGAAGCTGGAGCACTGTGAAATGAGCTCATAAATGTAATTCCCAATCTTCAGGGTATGGTGATAGGTGCAGGGTTCGGGGGTATATCAGGTGAAATGAGGAGAATGGAAAAGAGAAAACTGTGTGGGAGAAAAAGAATGAGAGAAGGGGAGAAAGTGAAAAGGAGGAAACATTTCTGAGAGGTCTAGTGATGAGTCATAGCTGCTCAGTGGCAGAATAACCTGTGAGCCTCTGCAGCAGAGCATGTTGTCTTTAACAATGTAAGGATAAATAAACATTCATGTTGCCATGTTGTATTTCAGCTCCCTGTCCAGTGTTCAGTCAGCGACATGGGAATCCCCGGTCATAGTGATTGAGGTTTCATTTTTTTTGGCAGGAAATCAAGTGGTGAATGCGTTTCGAGGCTGTGATCTGATGTTGTGTCAGCAAGCAGATCCTATCTAGTATATTTCACAACATCTGTTTTATGAATAAGGTGTTAGTGCTGATACATTATCATTCAGCACGTATAATTATAACGACTATGCAGTGTGAATACAGTGTGGTGAGATTAAAAAGAATGAATGAGTGGCTCTTTCTTTCACTCTTAATTATTCACCCTTTTTCACACACACACACACACACACACACACACACACACACACACACACACACACACACACACACACACACACACACACACACACACACACACACAGAGATACCAGTGCACACCCAGACATCTAAGACAAATCCTTTCGCCATGCACATAGAATTTGCAATAATGAACAATAACAGAGTAAAAAAAGTTGATCTAGATGATGATCTAATTAAAAGGGAAAAAGTGTTTGTATCAACTATGTATTTATGTATGTATGTTTACATGCATGTAGACAGTCAATTATTTATATAGAAAAAAGCAGTAAATCAAGAAATGTAATAAAAGGAGTGTCTTTGCATGTCTTGGCATTTTGTAGCCCACCTGCTAACGCTGCTCCATCCATCAAATAACCAGCCCCATTCTTCGTCCTGCCCCTCCCCGTGGGCCCTACTCTGGTTCTTTAAACCTCCCGCTCCTGCCGGTCCCCCCATCTGCTTTAAAGGACAGCCCGCAACTGACCTCTCATCCTGTCTGACGGCTGCCAACAGCTCCACTTTCAGTGCCGCATTTTCCTTTGACCATCATCTGGTCCCAACAAAAAGCAGAAATGAGAGTCATCCATGGCTCACTAAAAATATCTACACAAACAGCAAAACTGAGCCCAATAATCACAAAAAACATTAAATTCATGAATGAGCCTCAGTGTATTAAAGGTTTAGAATTGGGATATACTGTATGTATGAATTAAGAGCTTCCAGAGAGCAAAGTGAAAGTGAGTTTTGAAAATGTGCAGCAACGGCACTTCCCAATAACCTCAAACCTCTGCAACCACTGAGCTATTCTGAAGTCTCAAACTGTCCACTGAAAGTCCCAAAACACGTCTTGATCAAAACTGGACACAAACCCGCTCTTACAACATCCAACATCTCTTAGTTTGCATTGCTATCTTTAATTGAATTTGTGAATTCTCCAGTTTCCCTTGAGTAATCCAATGGACAGAGGGGAAGTTACATGTCAAAAATAGTAGGTTTGGGGATTTATAGTGAATTGAATATTCTGATTACAAAACGTCTCACTGTAGAGCAAAGCTCTTTCTAACATGTTGCAATGATGAATTTAATGGAAAACAGTTAGCAAGTAATTCTTATTTGAAAGAAAGGAATACACTTGTGAAAACACATGATGAACTTCTTCCCTTTCCTTCTGTTTTAAGTGATAACAAGAAGAATGTGTGAGTAATCAACCAACTCATGAATGGAAAAATCGAGTATCATGACTAATATTGGAACAGGAACATAATGGTGAAGAAACAATTAAAAAACCACTGATTACACGAGACACAACAGCACCTATTAAACTTGTAAATGGTGACAAATTCAATACACAGGCACAAGACTGGAATCTAAATTGGCACAGTGTGAGAGATAGTGATCATTTCAGGAAGTATTGTGACATCATAAAAATTATCATAACATCATTCAAGGGGAGAAAATTGTGTGTAAATAGATATAGGCAGTTTATATTAAAACAAAAAAATCTACAGAAAAATGGACTACTCGTCACAGGGTATTTATTTTATTTTGAATTCACCACCAACATTTCTTTGGGAATAATTCATGGTTTTAAGTGGATTTTCCCTTTTAATTATGTGTCATAGGGATTGTTATGCTCGTCAACAACGACTGTGTGTTTGAAAAGTGCTTTACTGTTATTTTAAAAAAAATACTACAGTTTATCTTTTACCCTTAAGTAGCACGAAAAAGTTAAAGCAGCTTGTGTACCTTATTTAAATTCCTGCTCCCGCTGGTCACTTCCATGTAAACCATCTTCACCAAATTCACCATCAACCACGGACTGATGCCAGACCGGATGCTTGACGCAAACTTAATTTCGTGCCTGGTGCATGATTATTGGGAAATCCCTCAAGACGAATATAAAATGACAGCCCATCGCAAAGCCAAGACAACTTCTCCTGGACCTGGCAGCCCTCAGCATCAGTGGAAACTCAACAAGTTCTTCCCGGCAGCTCAACATGTCTCCTCCAATCAGTAAGTTGTGAGCAACCTGTGTGGTGCGCACAGTTTCTGCGTATTTTTTCCTTTTATTCATTTCGATTTCTTCTCCGCAGACGCGTTCTGGCTCTCTGCGTTGATGCTGTGCGCCCTGCTGCTGTGCGCCCTCGGAGCTCATGCGGAAGACGCTCCCACCGACAGCCCGGCGGCCGGTGACCCCTCCGGTGAGGAGGAGGAGGCGGGGCCCTCTGACCTCCTGAGCACCTCCGGGGTCTGGGATCTGATCCTTGGTTCAACCAGACGTCACCAAAAGGAGGTAAAAAGCTTCCAGGAAATTCACTAAGATGTGCTATTGTCTGTGAGACTCACTTCATCAAGTTTCACTGGGTCATTTTCAGAGGTGGGAGAAGTATTCAGATATTGCGTTTAAGTAATAGTAGAATTTAGGAAAACTCTACAAGTAAAAGTCCTGCATTCAAAATGTAACTCAAGAAGAAGTAGAAAAGTATTGAAATCAAAATATACTTAAAGCAGGCCTACATAAAGTAAAAGCACTCATTATGCAGATTGGTCCATTTCAGAATAATATATATTTTGATTATAATTATTTTAATTACTTTGTATGTTGCAGGGTAGCTTGTGAATTTACTACAGGTGTAACTTAAGTCTTATTTAAGTATTGATTATATATCACATCATTAATCAAAATCTGTAAAGTAACTTAAGGTATGGAGTAAAAGTACACAATGTACCTCAGAATTATAGTGGGGTATAAGCACAAAAATAATTGAAATACTCATGTAAAGTACAAGTATTTCAAAATTATACATAAGTACAGTACTTGAGTAAATCTACTTTAAAGCATGTTTTAATGTTAGTCTGGTCTCACTTTCTGATCACAACCTGTATTCCTTTCCACTTTGTCAGTTTGAAGATGAATTCCACAATCAGGTGAAATACGAATTTCTGGAAGACTACAAAGTCTCCTCACTTCCAGAACGCTGCCCTTACTCTAACTTCACCAAGGTACATCTCCTCCCTTGGCATATTGTGACACTGAGGAAATAAAACTGGGTGAGCACTGACAGTGATTTTATTTTCCTCTCTTAAGGAGGCTTGTCTCCAAACGATGGTCCAAGGCCTGCAGATTTACACAGTTCTTCTCAGGCAAGTGGAGAAGGAGTACCCCAACAGCTTGATCTGCGCAGAGGTCCGAACTTACAGCGGCCAACTGATCGACCTGATCAAAAGAAAAGTGTGTTTCTTCCTTTTGGCTTACTATAAATGTCCATAGCTGTCTCAATGCACAGTGTTGGCTTTTGGCTTTGTCTTCATGTGGTTTTTCATATGGCTAAGTCTTTCATCATCGTTGCTGTATAGACAATAACAGTTTAAACATATTTAGTAGTAGAACTCCTAGGTTAAAACGTTTTAAAATAATTTTGCATCGTCATTATTACATTATCCGATCATTGACTGATGCATTCATGTTTGCGTACTGTTTGGTTATTAACAAGTTGGCAATTTGTATTATTAAGAAGGTTGTGCGTGTGTGTGTGTGCAAAGTAAATAGCAACTATAACTGACAAATGCATGTTTAAGTAAAGTAACACGTGTAAATACCCAAGTACCTCAAAACTTAAGCTCAGTAGATGAGTAACTGTACCAAGTTATATTTTGACACTGGTTAAATCTAATTTATTAGAAATGATAAGTCCTTGTTTTATCTTTGTCTTGTAAATGTCTAATTTTTAAAGGTTTAATGATAGGAATGGCTTTGACTTCATCCTAGATTTCAGTTATAATACAACTGTCTCTTCTGCCCCACAGATGAGGAACCCTGGTCAGGTGACGGCTCTGACCAGCAGTCAGGAAGTGCAGCTGCTGAATGAACTCGACAACCCCAACACCTTCCAGAGAAAGATGACTGCACACAACATCCTGCGCCAGCTCCACTACTTCCTCCTGAAGGGCAAGAGAGCCATTACTAAGAGGGAGAAGATCAGAGGAACTATGGCCAACGACAGTTTGGGCATCTTCCGGATTCTATAACCAAACAACGAGAGATGAGATATTTAAATTCACTAGAGGGAATATCCTCAGGGTCAGATTACGGGTGCTATAATTGTGTAGGTCTTTAAGGAGACAGGGCTTGAAGCGTCCAGTATTGCAGCATTTATTTAAGCTATTTATACTTTGGGGAAAGTGTTATTTATTAATCATAGGAAAATCCATGATCGCAGGTTTCTTGCACTAAAATTATTTATGAAAATAAGTTATTTGAAGAAGATTCATTTATAGATTTTGACATTACTTGAGCAGTTTTGATAGCGCTGCTATTCAGGCAATATTTGCATAATTTCGTTTTATAAACAATGATTTTATACTTACAGTACTGTTCATTATTTATTTACAACTATTATTTAACTGCATTTGCTGTGGATTGAATTACAATGCAATGAACTGACTTTTTTGAATTCACACAATAAATAAGTGACTGGTATTTTGTACACATGCAGAAATAAAAAATAAAAAATTTAAAATGTTTCGATAAGTAAAAGTTTCTTCAGTCCAAGACTTTACACATTTCATGTAATTGAAAGGTTGTAACACATTTCTTCCACAAACCATTTACCTCTTTTACAGATTTAGATCAATCTGCATTTCATTTGGAGGCTGAAAATATGACTTAACTCGAAAAACGAATTTGTTTTAACGATAAAATACTTAGTATTGGTTTTTGCCTAAGGTTAGGCATCAACATTAATCCTGTTAATAAAACACCAGATTGACATTTCTTAGTGGATTTATTCTCTGAAATCTTAAATTACAAATAAAAAGAGGAAAACATGGAATGAAAGGTACATCCTGACATTGCTGTCTCACACAGCACAACACTGACAGATAGCCCAGTCAACACTGTGAGGACGAACTCTTGATTCCAGCTTGGTAATCCGAATCTCTTCTATCCATGTTGCCAACACACTCCATACATCTACTGTATGTTTGGCCTTGGACATTATGACGGCACACAACGTCATTACTTCTCAGAAGGTTGTACAGCCAGATTTATAGAGAGGGAAAGAAAGAAAATGTCCATTTCCTGGCTTTCTGATGACATGGTCTTGATGATGGGAGGGGATTGGCTGTTCGGGGGCATGCCTCAGCCCCAAAGCAAACTACAGAGGAGAAAAGTAAAGGATCAAGCAGATTTTAAAAAAGGACAACAATTGAAAAAAAAACAACAACTTCCGAGAGCTAGTCGTCCAAAAATATTGATTGTAACATTAGACATGTCTTTTTAATCCATGGATCCTTTTAAACCTTATTGAGGATACCCAGGAATCCCGTCACGGGTGTCAAATGCTCAAAGTGTTTAGGCGAGGAAAGTTTGTTCATAAAAGAGAAGGAAATGTAGCGTAGATGTTTGCTTACAACAAGCTAATAGGGGTGTAACGATATATGTACCAGTACCGAAATTATTCGGTACGGGCCCTTCGGTTCGGTACACATGTGTACCGAAGTGTACCGAACGAATATAACGTTAAACGTAAAAAATTGAGAACGTGAACAACTTCTTGGAAGTAATCTCAGGTGCTGCGTCGCAGCATTCAGAGTAATTTGCTCACATTGGGTTCAACGCGTCATAGAGCGAGCAAGTCATTTCATTGGACGAGAGGCATACTATGAGAGCTGGTCAGAGGGATGCGTTCAAATTTAGTCAGTAATTTGAGGAACTGTCGAAATGGCGAAAGCAACAAAAGTCTCTTTACACTACGAATATTTCCCTCACTAGAATGTCGCGTCTGTAATAAACGCATTCAAATCTCACAGCCCGATCAGACAGTTTAATTCAAAAACTTAAACTTATTACTTATTTATTACTATTAACTCAAATTCTGTCTTTTTTTTGTAGTTCATGTTTAGTACTTGAGGTTAGTATGAATCCCCACACTTGCCAATGTTTGTAAAGCCAAGACAATGCATGGCAGCCAAAAAAATCCAGTGACAAGCCATTCAAAAGCCAATGTCGTCTTTTTTAATAGTTTTTTGTAATTACAATGATATATAATAAAAATAATAATAACTAATTTGACACTTAGTTACATAAAGGAGTTCTAATTTAATGCTTTATATTATTTTATTTTGTACTTCCACGTTCGTAAAAAGCTACTTGACTTTATTAGACATAAAACTGAAATGACATGAATCATGAGTGATTTTTGTTTTGATATCAAACCCCAAAAATTAATAATAATTTGACACTTATAAGTGAATTTATTTGTGTTTTAATATTTTTTAAAGTTTTGAATTCACGTCGTAAGCTACTTGACTTTATTAGAAATAAACTTGACATGACCATGACATGGATTCGTTCGGTCAAACTCGCATACTTGAACGAATAGTAACTAAAAGTACAAAAAAATTTCTTTTTACTTGAACAGGTACGAAACGGCTTTCCGTCTAGACGACCGTGATATGTACGAAGGACGACACCTGTGGATGAGCAGATCCCTGTCTCCATCGTCTATGTCGGTCCAAAATCGCGAACGATTGTACCGTTGTATTCCTATAAACCGCAACATCGAAACCGAGCCCGACTTGAAAACGCAGTCAACCAACCCTCCGAATTACGATCACCCTCAAACCAAACGTGAGTCAGAAAATAGAAAACCATGGCCACTTTATAAGTGCAAGCCCACTACGGAAAAAGTTTAATCACACGTTCAATTCAATGGAACAACCTACATACTGGTCGGCGCTTGGCGTTAAAATCAAACTTGTTACCGGCTGTTTGTCAAACAAAACAGGTGGACAGAAAAGGCATAGGAACATGCATTGACGCTTTGGTGTTTACAAGGGTTTGCCTCTGAAGTTACTACTACTCTCCTAAAAGACTCGA